GACGAGATTTCATCTATTTATCAATAAAAACAGTAGTGCATTTACAAACAAAAACACTCACACTTATTGAACATAATTAACGTAAAATTACTGTATAACAAAGTGGATTCAGATAGCCGTCGAGTATCTGTATCCAAAAATATCTTTTGCTTTCTTTTTTTGTTTCGTATTTTAAGACCATGTCGATGTTCAAAGCTCTACCGTTACTTTAATTACAATAAAGAACTATGACAATATATGAACTGCTAATTCTGTTTTTTTTTTTCCTTTTTCTTTCGTCCTTAATAATTACTTCCGTAAAGTACAAGTTATTCAAGTGCATTTATTCAATGTACTTTTCTACCCTAATTATACGTGCGAATCTTTTAATGAAACTCTCTCAGTGAAAACGGTCCGTAACGAAAAATGAGGAGGCGAAAATGCTTAAACAGCTATACAAAGTAGCTTATCAATTATGCGAAGGATACTGATACTGGCTCACAAATACATAATAAACTGAAACGCACTTGGACAATTTGCTGTCATACTTTTTTTTTTTTATAATGATTATACAAAAAGAGTGAAGTTAATATTCTTCCTCGTCGTCGGGCGCGAGGCCGTCTCCCTCCAATTCTTCTGGCGGTGCAAATCCTTCCTATATAATCAAAGAAATGGCAACAACGTGATATAACGCAATTTTGTAACCTAATATTATTAGTCATGTCAAAATCGTTGGAGTATGAAGCGTACCTCTGTTGCATAAAGAACTTCTAAGATTTTCTGTACTATTGGAGGAGGATCTCCGTTATCACAATCTTGGCACATAACTTCAATATCACGTAACTTTCCGAAATAAAAATCTCTTTCCTTCTCTAGTCCTTCCAGTGACATTTTCAATTCCATTAACTGAAAGGAATCGTTAGAATGTATTAAATGCTGTATAATATATTAAATAATAGTTATGCCTTCCCTCGTACCTGTGCACTAAGTTCTTCAATTTTCCCGGAATCGCCACGATTTCCCACTACTGTTTTCGCTTGAGGACGATGGGCCGGAGCTTTATTAACTAAAGTCGAAATTTAATAAATCAGTTTTTCAACCACTCGTTATTTTTGTTTATAATTATCTCTATAGATACAATAAAACATTTATCATATTTACATAGATATTACGAAACATAAAAGGATTTTACATACATATATGTAATAACAAATAGTAAATGCTTTTACAATAAGCAGTGTAATTGCTTTTACAATAAGCAGTGTAATTATATTAAATATAAATGATAGAAGCATAATGAATCTATACAATGTAGAATTTATAAAACTGTAGAATCAAAGATAAAAAAATTGAAAGCATGCATTAGAACGATTGTTCACAACACTTACGACCGACAAATAAATAAAGTGATATCTACATGATTTCTCAAACAGTTAAATGAAGAATAAACAACCAAAATTATAAATCTTACTCTTTTTCCCAAAAATTGCAACTACTCTTTTAAACTTCCGACAAATATTAGAATCTTAACAAGTTTGTTAAATAAATAGCCCTTTTTAAATAAACAAGTATAAAAAAAATATTGAAAACAAAAGAAAAGAAAAGATAATTACTAGGCTTGGTGTTATCTGCAGGTGCAGGAGGCGAAGGTCCCTCATTTGAAGCGAAATTTTTTTTTCTCACAGCTATTAGGACATAGTTATTAGGACACAAAAGCCCATTATTTTTCCATATATATGCAATTTACATTATGAAAATTTTTATATATAAAAACATAAATAAATATTCGATCGTGTATCATATTTTTCAGTTAATTACCGATACTTCTTAATTGTTATTTTCGAGTAAGCAAAACCAGGTCATGTTGATTGTAAATTGGAAGGGAATCAGTACGTTAATTCTCTGATT